CGGTTCAGCCAGCTGATCCCCTTTTCTTCCCAGAATTTTAATTATGTATTATTTAGCGTTTATGCAGGGTTTCCTTATAACAGCTCTTTAAGGTCGGCCAGTGTTGTCATCCCCCCATTGCAGATAGTGGCTTGAAGCTGGGCAAAGAGTGTGTTTGCCTAAGCCCACCCATTGAAATGTGGTCTGAATCCCCCCCCCCCCCCCCCCCACTATCTCCTCCTGCTGATTAGGCTTTCACCCCAAGAAACCTTGCAAAGTGTCGCTTTCTTAGTGTGGGGAGCTAAGAGTTTTTAATAGACTTAGTAGTTTTCATTTTGTTTCATGATGTTTTCAAATATGACAGTATCCGGCCGGTTCAGTCATAAGAGTGGCCACTCTACCTTAGGGCTGCCCATTGTTGACAGAGTATCTTCAGAGTGCAGACAAAAGTCATTACTACTTTTTAAATTGGGGATATGGGATCGAAACTGGAAGCATATGCTGCACTGCTTGGGCATTTGAAGAAAATAGTTCTCATCCATATCACAGTATATGTTTGTGGCAGACAGTGACTTTTCTTTGTAGTAGACCGCCCAAAATATAAATCCAGTAGCCATGCCCCACTCTATGTCATCCAGTTAATTAGGGTCTGCATGTAGAAGTAACACAGGCTTGAAGAACAGCAAAATAAAATGAAAGTTTAATGGTGCCTTAAAGACTAACAGGATGATTTTCAATGTGAGTTTTAAGAACAGGAACCAAGTTTATGGACATTGTCATATGACTTCCCATCAGGGTGATGTCATAAATGATTATTATTAATTGTTGGATTTATTTTGCATTGCAGTCTGAAAACTGGATTGTTAAAATGGAAACCAGACTATGATAGTGCAGCTACGGAATATGCAAAGGCTGGTATGTATTGTAAAGCACAGGTATGCATTTTTGCAATGTATCGTATTGCTTTCTTGAGGCAGCTAATTTTCACGTATCTGCTGTTAAAGCAGTTTTTGGATGAACAGATGGGTTTTGAGTACTGACATTATTTGTTTCAGACAGTTATTGTGCATAACATAATTGGGTGGGGATGGAGTATAACAAGCAGGCATTCAGGACATCTTGCAGTTAACAGTGTAAGTGATACAGTGGATATAGACACAGCTGAGTAGGACATTCTTGTTCCATGGCCCAGTACAGTATGCTACGGTCACTATGTCTTAAATCTAGGCTAAATTGACAAGTTCCATTGATTGTCCCTTCTTACTGTCAGCCCCCCATCCATGTCATTCTTCAGACTCCCCCATCCCTCAGGAGCAGCATTTCTTGGAGATTAGAAGGTATAGTGGGAGGAAGGGAAACAGGAAAGTTCTGGTCAGCTGACAGAAAATTTAGTCTGGATCCAGCTTCATATCAACATAGTCTTGGTGAATGGGTTTATTTTAAAGGCTTTCTAGAGACAAAACAAACAATAAAACAACTATAAATGTAGTAATTGTGCATCTTTGGAAGAATTCATTTCTTGTAGATTGAAATAAGGTACACTTTGACAGCTGGTATATTTGCAAAGCTGGATGTAACTTTGCAAAGTACTTTAGACAGAAAGGCAGATGAAGTCAAATGGCATGGTAGTGGGTAGAGGTCTTGGCTTTATCTCTAGTCTTCTTCATCAGAGTTATGGAAGGTTTTGATGGCACTTTAATTTGTTGCTTTGTTTTAATATATCTCATTAGCAATTAGCATGTTTTCTGCAGAAAACTTTCCAAGTGCTTTATGCCTCTATATGAACATAAGAAGAGCCCTGTTGGATCAGACCAGTGGTCCATCTTGCTCAGCATCCTGTTTCACATCATGGCCAGCCTGGAGGGCCATGATCAGAGCATAGAAGCCCAGGACTTCCCCAGTGTTACCTTCTAGGCTAGCATGGGTGTTCAGAGATTTACTGCCTCTGAATGTGGAGGTTCCCTTTTAGGCACCATGGTTAGTAGCCATTGATGAAGCTGTCTTCCATGAATCTGTATAATACCTTTTCAAATCTGAGTGGTTATTGGCAGTGAATTCCACAATTTAACAAGTTGTTGAGCAAAAAAGGATTTCCTTTTGTCTGTTCTGAATTTATTGACCATCAACTTAATTGAGTGCCACTGAGTTCTGAATTTATTGACCATCAACTTAATTGGGTGCCACTGAGTTCTGTTATTATGGAATAGAGAGATAAAGTGCTCTTTATCCACTTCACCCCGTGCATAGTTTTATAAACATCTATCATATCCCCTCTTAGCCATCTTTTTCTAGGCTGAAAAGTCCCAGACTGTTTTGCTTTTCCTCATAAGGTGCTCCGACCCCTTAATCCAATTGGTTGCCATCTTCTATACTTTTTCTAGCTCTGCAATATATTTTTTGAGATATGGTGATCAGAACTGTACACAGTGTTCCACATGAGGCCACACCATAAATCTGTACAAGGGCATTATAACATTAGCTGTTTTGTTTTCAGTTCCTTTCTTAATGATCCCCAGCACGTAGTTTGCTCTTTACATTGCTTCTTCGTACTGAGTTATCATTTTCATTGAGCTGTCCACTATAGTCCCAAGATCTCGCCGAGTATCTGCCAGTTCAAGACGTATTAGCATGGTACACATAACAATCAAAGTGTGGATTAGTTTGATTGGCTGTGCAAGTCAGATCAAAGTCAGAGCTTTACATTTCAGTTCAAGTGTTTGTTGTTATTGTGCATGTAGAGTACACAATGCAATACAAATGTTTCCTTTTTGTTTCTTTGCAGCTGTTGCTTTTAAAAATGCCAAACAATTTGATCAGGCAAAAGAAGCTTATTTGAGAGAAGCTGTCTCCCATGAAAACAATAAAGCGTATCTTTTAATTTATTGTTCCCACTCGCAATGAACTGAAAAATTAAAGTTGGGTTGATACCATATTCTGGGGTATTCCAGAATTAGGGATGGCTTAAGTAAGTTTTCAACAGTTGCGTTCCACACAGTGGAGGAAAGGAGTTGCATGCACATGGAGACTTGATCTGTGTGATCACTACGTGTGTCAAAACCTTTGCTCCTTGCAGTCTGTGTACTTAGACCTTATTGCATGTATGCATCCTGCCAGCTTGTCTGTTGCCAAGGCCTGTAATGCCTCTGTACCTGCCAGTTATCAGCATATTAAAGATAACACTCAGAAAGGGCTTAAGTGCATGCAATCTACATGGAGTTCAGGTTGTTCAAGAGTTACTGATTGTATGGACCGGCATGCATAAGTTCTGTTTTCCCAGCCTTAAGTCCAAAGCCAAAATGTGTGTTGGACCCAGGTTCTAGTCAGGCACATCTACTGGACACTACCTACCTCCATGAAAAACCACCTACATCTAATGAATGACCATCTTGTTTATATTTGAGCACTTTATTTGTAATATTCGTTGGTTTTTACTGTTTTTATGTGTAGGCATATTTTGCCCTCTCATAAGCTGCCCCGAGCCCGTTCGTGGGGAGGGCGGGGTATAAATACAAAAATAAATAAATAAATAAATGTGGGTGCCACAAGCCGGAATGATCTTGTACCACCACTGCATGTAGGTACTGCTTAGTTGGGGACTTACATGTATTGGTCCTTAAGAAATTTGCATGCTGGTGAGGTTCCTTTATATGCCTGGGGAGGTGGATTTGATTAACGGCTATTCAAGATTTTAGTGTGACACTTGATGTGGGTTTCTCCCTGTCATTTTTCTGAGCTAGATTTGAAGTATAACCTCTCCTTGCCTCATAGCCCATGGCCACTATTTCAGTGAGTGACTTGAAGCTCAAGACTCGTGCTTGACCAGTGGGGCTTTTGACTTTTTAAATAGCACTCCGAAATCAGTTTGTCATGTGGCAGAAGGACTCACTGGCATGAAGTGCTCATGATTGTGGATGGTGGAAAGGAGAAAATCACTGGTGAAGTGTATTTTAAATTTGTTAGGAACACATTGAGATCTGTATTTTTCTTCCAGTTAGCCTTTAAAAAGCTTGTTACACCTATGAAATGTGTAGCTTCACCTATGAATGTCAACCTAAACTGCTGGTCTTTGAATATGAGCTCCCTTCAGAGGCAGTTAAAGCCTTCAAGTTAGACCTGTTAAATTTAATTTGTATCCTTGACTTTGAATTATTTACATCCAGTCTCTTCCATGCTGCAAAGTAAGTATGAATTCTGCCATCTTTTGCCAAGTTTTCCAGTACACATGTGAAACATAACCAGTGTTGTCGTTGAGTGGAATAGTGAAATAGTCTGTGGCTTAAACAGGGAGCCGGTCAACTGACCTCATCAAAGCATAATCAAGCATACAGAAAATTAAACCTGAAAATTAGTTGTACATTAGTTTCCATTGAAGCTTGCAAATACTGCTATACTTGCAAATACTGCTATACAAATATGCTATAGTTCTACTATTGTGTTGTGTAAAATAGTTTTTTTATATTGCAAGTTTGTCTTCCTTATACATGTTACTGAAGGGGCAGAAATTTGATAGGATATTCTCTTCATAGAGTTGTAACATTTGGAGGCTCCTAAACAGTCAGCTAACCTTCTGCTTTAAGTGTTGTGGGGAGACCTAGCTCAGCCTCTGCTCAGCCACAAAGCTGATAGGGTACACGTGGGACAGTTTATGGCTTGGATTTTGCAGTAACAGAAATTTCTGCCAAATCATACTTTCTTCTGCAAATCTTCCTTAAGTTGTTCCTGAAGGACCCTGTCTTCCAGGAACAGCATTTCATGGAGATCAGCAGACTGCAGTGAGAGTGTGGAGGCAAGAAAGTACAATTCGTCAGATGGAAAATTTAGTCTACATCTAACTCAGTATGTCTCATACCCTATGACACGGGATTGTTGTCAGAAGAAAAACGTGTTGACTATGTATGCTGCCATCAGATCATTCACAGATAAACATTATAAAAAATTAGTGATGGTCAGTATGAAACTGACTAAGCAAAGAGTTTCCTACTTTGATTTTCAGGATGTTAACTAAATAAGAGTGGGAAGGATATAGAAATTGTTCTTGAAAAATGCTTTAGTTGTGAGAATAATCACCTTTTTAAAGCCCGTCATCTGTTTGCTACCATGGTTTCTATTAGCTATCACTTTATAAACCTTCTTTCCTTGTTAGGGAATGTCATAACACTACATAGTAGGAATGGGTATGAACCCATCACAAGCCAAAATTCGGCACAAAATTTGGCACGAACATTTACTGGGCTTTTGTCCAGTTCGGCCATTCAGGCCATTTAAGCCTAACAGCTGAGTGGTGCCGGGTCCGCAGCTGACCTGATAGGTTTAAATGGTTGTGAGCCATTTCACCAATCAGTTTCACTTCCTCCCACTTCAAAGTGGGGAAAACTGAAATGGACTGGTGAAATGGCTGCCAGCCATTACAGCCTAGCAGCTGATGGGTGGGGCCCAAATCGGTGAGTTCGGTTCCCCCTTTCTCTCAGCCATGGCTCACCACGGCCGCGGGAAAAGGAGGGATTGCCCAGGAAAGGTTAAATGGGGAGGAGAGAAACCGACGGGTTTAATGGCTTACTTTGAAGTGGGGGGAAGTGAAACAGATGGGTTGAATGACTGCTGGCCATTTAACCTTTCCTGGGCAATCCCTCCTTTTCTCCCGGCCGTGGTGAGCCCTGGCTGAGAGAAAGGGGGAACCGAACTCGCCAATTTGGGGCCTTTTGGCTCAGTTCGGGGTTCAGTTTGGGTGCTGCCCCAAACCAAATTGGATTTTTTAGGTTCATGCCCATCCGTACTACATAGTCAATTGAACCTGTCGATGAGAAGACATCTGTGAGTATAAGCAAAGTCCATTCGGGGTTGAATCAGTGTGTTTTGTCCTGAAAATATTTATGGGGAAATAGTGAGTACATCTTACTTGGGAATGCTTGTGAAAGAGAAATTGTGGGAACCCCAACGGGCAGTTGTATGAACTGCCCACATCTCTTTCTGGAAGCAGTAAGGCTGTATGCAACAGGAAATAGAAGTGCTCAGAATTTATGAATCTGGTTTTCTGCTTCATATTATAACATAAAAATCTCCAAGCTGCATTCATCTTGGCATAAATAAGAATTAGCTGGTCCTGTTGCTTATGTTTAATTGTCCCTTGTTTGGTGTAGAGATGCTGCTTCCGCTTAAATTTAGGCCAATGTTTTTTTCTTTCAGGGCTTATGAACAAGCTGGTATGATGTTAAAGGTATTGGCCAGTTCCATTCAAACTACCTATAAGAAGACATTTGGGTAAAACTAAATATGGGGTGTTTGTTCTGTATAATGTTCTTCTTGCATTTTAGAATTGACATGCCCTAATTGGAGATTCATTAACCATTAACTAACGTAGAATTAGATGCACTTTATCCTGTTGGTTTTATTAGGTTTCGACACATTTAAGTCTGTATTGAACTGTGGTTTTAGTATTTAAAAAGTCCATCACATTTAGAGTTACATCTCTCTGCATTCTTTAGAGTTTATTTTAATGCTTTTTAGCTTTTTGACTACTGTGCCACATTTCCTGTGTACAATTAAATGATTCTTTATCTGATCCCTGCATTAGTAAATCCATTTCCCCCCCAAACCATCCTAATTAATGGATGTGGTTTCTGTTGAGGCTGCTTGGAATTGCTGCCAGTTTATACTTAAAGGTATAAAGAACATGTGTATTATATACAAATCTATCTTTATAGAATGACAGCATTTGTACTAGAGGACTTCTTCCTTCTCTCTCCTTTCACCCTAACAACAGATTGCATACTAACCCACTACACATAGATTGTTCTTTTTCAGTGTTACAGGGCTGATAATGTGGGTTCATCATTTGAGAGATGTAACAGCTAATGAAGGCTAGCATGTGTGAATGAGCCATCACAGAATTCATTTTGGTTGGTGTGTTTGTGTGTGTAGACTGTGTCGTTCAATGACATTTGCTATGGGAATTCCTTCATCCTTTTACAGATTTTTACCTTGTTTTTTGATTATAGGAACTGGGACAATTTAAATTGTCTGAAATACGTAATATTGTGATAACATTGAAAGATATATAACCAAATAATTTCATCTAAATGATCACTGGTCCTGACATACTTGGACTTTTTCTTTTTCCTACAGGAAATGCAAAAACATTATGAAGCGATAGAACTGATAGAGAAAGCCAGTATGATGTATCTGGAGAACGGGACACCTGACACAGCAGCTTTAGCGCTAGATCGGGCTGGGAAGTAAGTATGCTGGGATTGAATGCTTTCAAAGGTTCCTAACTAGAAAAGAACTTTGATTCCTCTAGTTGTTTTGTTTTGCTTTTTTTTTTTTAACTCTTAAGTTAAATAAAAGTGTTGAAACTTTATTTCAGGGTAATAGAAAATATAAATCCAAGCAAGGCAATTCAGCTGTATCAGCAGACAGCATCAGTATTTGAAGTAAGTCCTCTAAAACTATAATGAATATTCCTCCTAAAAGCAAACTTGAAACAGAAAATATAAAATAATGTTTAACATGTAAATGGCAGCAGTTGGGCCATGTAAAGCAAGTGTGAGAAGCTCTGAGGTAGAGCCACATCTGGATATGTATCTCTTAAAGACATTCCCACCCCTTTACGTGACTCACCGCTTACATCATCATAACTTAATTTGCTTTGTATAGTGCCACGGAAGTGGACTGCAAAACCTAAACTTCAGCTGAAAAGAAAACCAGTGGAGCCACACTTCAGCAATCATGTGCATAAGAAGAACTCTGCTGGATGAGATATCCTGTTTCATTGAGTGGCCAACCAGTTGTTGTGGAGGGCCAATAAATGGGGCATAAAGCCCAAGACTTCAGAGATTTCCTGCCTTTGAAGATAGAGTTTCACTTCACTCAACATGGCTGGTAGCCATTGATGGACCAATCATAACCTAACATCTAGCTATTCTAATAGGGACTGAATCAGCTGTCAGACCCCATCTGCATAGCTAGGTTTTTTTGTTCCATTGTTTATTACTTTGCACTCACCAACACTGAACTTCACTTGCCACTTTGTCACCTCCTTACCCAATTTATGAAGAGCTGCAGGAGGATCTCTCCAATCTGCCTTGGTTTTCATCATCATGGATAATTTGGTATCATCTGCAAACTTGGCTACTGCACCTCTTCTTTATTGAGGTTTATAAGATTATGCATGGGATAGAGCAGGTAGAGAAAGAGGTACTTTTCTCCCTTTCTCACAATACAAGAACTCGTGGGCACTCCATGAAATTGCTGAGCGGTTGGATTAGAACAGATCAAAGAAGATCTGAGATCAGCAAGGCAGGACTTCCCTTTGCAAAAGCCACACTGATTTTCACTCAGCAGGCTCATGGTCAGGCTAATAATCTTGGACAAAGTGGCATAATAAAGGTAGCTAAAATATGAGATAACAAGAAAACTCTACATATATCTTAACTTGAGTTATGTCTGGTATATAGGCAATAATACGTACCTGTATTTTCTCCTCTAGAATGAAGAACGCCTACGACAGTCAGTTGAAATGTATGGAAAGGCTTCAAGACTTCTGGTCAGAGGTCGGAGGTATGCATTTTAACTTTTTTTAAAAAATTGAATCTTTTTGACAATATTACCACCTCAAGTGGCTTTTTGCACCAGAAGGGAACACTGGTCAATAAATCTTTGCCTTGATCTGATGACTTTTTAAGTGGCTTTTTGCACCAGAAGGGAACACCAGTCAATAAATTTTCTCACAATATTTATAACTGTGATTTTGCCTGTAGACTGCAACTTCTATGGAGAACGTGGTTACTCCAGTGTCATGGGGATCTGTTGGCTAGTGACAGGGAAAAGCAGTCCCAGTCTTATCTGCCAGGAGGTGGCATTCTGAATGAACTTCCATCCCCACGCCCGGAGAAGAGATGCAGCAGAAGTTTCCCAGCTCAGAGAGGTGGTGTTCTGAATCCTCACCGATATGGGCTGTGTCTCTTCTAAGATGCAGCAGAAGTTTGTTGAGTAGGATGGATATCAGAACACTGCCTCTCACATGTGGGAGGTGGCATTGTGATCCCAATTTGGGAGTGGAAACCTCTCGCGATTACAGCTGTGCTGATATCCACTGATTTCAAAGAGAAATCTATGCCTTTCTACAAAGTCAACCAATTGCCACGGCTTTTTGTAACGGGTGATCTGGATGTCTTGCAGGAGGCAACAGGGTGGGGCACTATGGTTGCTATGATCAGAGCACTCTGGTTCCATCGAGAGGTACCTATTTCTCCTTTAAATTGGCATGGTGCCCGGGCATTGCAGTTTCCATAGCATAGGATGTCTGATGGGGAAGGTGAGAAGGGGCAGATTATGGGTGTTTCCCCTTTTGGACTGCATGTGACCCCAGGAGTGGATGTTTCCCTGCTTCTTAAAATGAAACAATTTTTTTTAGCATACTTATCTCTTCATAAGAAAAACTGCTTCGGATGCTGGAATTTGGGAACATTGCTACTAGTGCTGGATTGGGGCTAGTATGAAAGAGTGCATAGATTCTTAAATGCATCTGGAAGGGTTTCAGAGACATCACTCTCTACATGGTTCAGAGCGCATGTGATGATGTTAAAAAGAAACGTCTTTTATGAAACTAGCCTTGCTCGTATATCGTTGCTCTCAACAGTTGTTAGAGGTGCAGGCAACGAACTCATGACTTTTACTTTGTTGAATGTCTGAAAAGGAACAGTTGGTTGGAATGAGTTTCCTTCTGATTTCTGTTGCTTGAAAGACTGTTTAAACTGGTGTGGTTTGCCGATTGTTGTCTTGTATTTCAGGCTGGATGAAGCTTCAGCTTCTCTGCAGAAGGAAAAGAGTATTTATAAAGATATTGAAAATTATCCAACATGTTACAAGGTATAATGCCTATTGGACATATTTTCTGGTGGGGGCGGGGGGCGAAATCATAATGCTTCATTATCCAGTGTGCTTCAGAATTATTGTGCTTCAGAATATTTTATGTTGAAACATCTGCAGATTCCACACAAGCAGTTGGAAGCTTTGTTTTGTGTTTTTCTGGGTTTTTTTCTCTTAGAGGTTTAAAAATTTTTTCAATTTCATTGAGAGAAAAGGAGCTTGAAGAGAATGAGCTTGTTAAATCATGTCTGGATTGCAAAAATGGGCAGACTTTAGAAAATGCTAAATATCTATGGTGTTGGTGCAAGAAATTTTGTGTTCCTTTGATGCCTCTTACAATACCTGCAGAATCTGTTGCGTGCAATTTCAGATGCCATTTTCATTGTTTTATCCATTTTCAGCTACGAATACTATCAATGTAGCATAGGGATAAAATCATGATGTGCAAAACCAACACGTTTGCTGGTGAAAGTGTGTAATTATGGCTTTGCTGTGTAGTTGCACGAAGAAGCAGAAGTAGCCTGACAGTATAAGCAAATAACCTACAAATATTAAGTTCTCACAAGTAGCAAAATTTTGGAGTTTTCTTTTTGCCTTGATAGCAACAAAATCCTTGTGAAACCTTCCTTGAATGCCTGTAATGTGTATGTATGTTCAGATGGTAGAAGGCCTCCAGCATATTTTTCTCTTCTACTTTTCCAGAAAAGATGGATAAGGCAGTTATTTCATAATTTTAGAGCATTCTAAATCTCTTAAAGCAGTTCCTTATTCTTAGTGCGTTAATAGCCGCTGATTCTCAGAAGCACAGTTTTCCAGTTTTGTTGTACATGGCTCAGGCTAACTAAGTGGGGTTGTCCCTGGTTAGTACTTGGATGGGAGACCACCAAGGAATTTCAGGGTCACTATGCAGAGGAAGGCCCGAAGACCTCTGGATGTCTCTTGGCTCGAAAACCCTACTGGGCTGCCAAAAGTTGACTGCAACTTGATAGCACTTTGCGCGCACACACACACACTGAATAGTGAAAGGTCATATTGTTATTATAAAGTAATTAAGTAAATTTCTTCTATTTTTTAGAAAACTATTGCTCAGGTCTTGGTTCATCTTCACAGAAATGACTATGTTGCTGCAGAAAAATGTGTCAGGGAAAGCTATAGGTAAGACCTTTATTTTCCTCTTAGGTTTTTAATTTAACAACATGGTTGTGTCTTTTCTGGAAGCAGTGGCTCTGTGTTTCTTTAGCTTTCTATACCAATGCAGTTTGCCAATGTAGTGTGTTCTGAAAAGTCACCATTTGGGGAAATAAATTATTTTCTTTATATGCCTTCTCAGAATCAAATTTACAGCTGTAATTAAAGACTTAAGCGACATAATCACTGAGTTTAAGAATTAAGCTGTATGATCACTGAGTTAGCTTTGATTCTGTGTTTTCCCTTTGCTTATTTGTACCTTACTGGAAGTCTGGTTTAGCCTCGGTCACATGGGCCGGAAAATGCGGGGGGGAAGTGTGGCTGTTTGCCCAGGAACAAAATAACGGACATGCCGACGAGGTCCCATCGAGGTCCCGTAGTTAGGGGGGAGGTGCCGATCACAGGACAATCCTGCGGCGAGGCAAAGAAGCGGCCTCTATAGCAAAAGGCTCCGCGGGTTTAACCCCTTCCAGGGCTGCAGAGGAATGCAAACTGTGTCCTCCGTCCGGTCCCCTCCAGGAGGAGCTTCAGCCGGGCCGCCCTCCCACCACGCCCCCTGCACCTCCCCCTCTGCCGCCCGGTGCAGAGAGTTCCTCTCGAGCAGGCCGAGCCAGGAGTGGGGGGGGGTACAGAAAAGAGGAGGGGGCTGTGTTGTTTGTTTTTAAACGAAGTGTGCGCATGCGCCGTTGGGTGCTTGTGCGCATCCCATGGATACTTTTCTTTTAAAAACAAAAAACAAAAAAACAAACCTTTTCGCGACGGGACATGGGCGGGCGCCGGATGCCACGACCTACCACCGGAAATGCGATCAGGCGCCCACCCTTGCCCCGCAGTTTCTGGAAATTAGTACCTCAGAGGTACTAGTTTTTTAAGCCGCATCTTCGGGGGGAAGCCTCGGGTGAGCCACGGGAGCTCTACGCTTCCCAGATGTTGCGGTGTAATCGCGCGTGGAAAATCCGCCTATCTTCCGTCTCTGTAGCGTGGCTAATTCTCCGTGTGACCGCAGCCTTTCTTAAGTTTGAGGGAGATTGACTAAATGATGAACTTTTCAATTTTTTCAGCATACCAGGCTTCAGGGAAAGTGAAGACTGTGCAGCCCTAGAGCAGCTACTAGAAGGGTATGATCAGCAAGACCAGGATCAAATATCTGATGTCTGCAATTCACCGCTCTTTAAGTACATGGACAACGATGTAAGTTGGTGAAAGGCAGGGTCCTAATTTGCCCCACTGGGCCAACACTGACCAGTGAGAACTATACGTACAATAATTAGTTGATCAAAATAAATGAAAATGGTTTATTAAGGGCTGAGGACAGACTGGCAGTATGAAGCGCGAGGGAGGAGGGGCAAAAAGACCCGGACCGAGTTGTGCCGGGGATTCCCGGTCGCACTGCATTTACTGATGTGGGAGCATACCGGGGAGGAGGAGCAAGGGAACGTTAGCACTGTTGGCCCGCCCCTGGTGGAGGCACGGCTGTAAGTGGCTTTTTTCACTCCAGTGACATGCGCCTTTGCGCATAGGCACAGCAATGCGGCATGCACACTTCCGGGGAGCGGGATCAATGCGCCCTCCAGGGTTTGCTACCGCTTTCACCTGGTACTTTTTCAACGCGGTAGGGAATCATCATAGGACAGGTTGAGTACAGCTGGGGAACGCCTGACAGCTGTGGCTGTGTGAACCCGACCCTTTAATCCGTTTGTGAAACGTGCCTATATCGGGCCAACCTGCCAGTCTGAACTCAGCCAAGGACAATGCACAACCAAACATATAAAGTAGCATTGAGAGCAGTTAAGAACAGATGTTAAAACACATAGAAAGTGAGCTTGTCCATTCTGGATAAGGGGTATTGGTCACTTTTTGTCACAGCATTTCATTTTTTTGTAGTCCACACAAAGTTTTATTCCCTCATCTTTCTTAGGAACTTGAACAGCAGGAGCACTCTAATTGTTTTTAGATGCTTTTATAACACCCAAATCTAACATTAGTCTGAATTTCTTGGCCTATATCTGTGGCATGTTGTCCATTAGCCCTATATGAATGAGAAATGGTAGGTGGGTGATCTCCAGTAATTATACTAAGCTTAGCTAAAGAGGTTTTGCCAGGTTTGCTAGAAAATATGGACTTGAATTCATTCAAAATGCCACACAGCTGTCTCCCTTGGGCTGCAGAAATGTCAGGCGCTAGAGTAATTTCATTCATTGTGTGATCACACACAAACCAATTCCCAGCCCAACTGGCTAGCAAGATGAACCCCGATTTATGGCTTCAGTTGAATCCCACCAGTGCCACCATGTCAAGAGGTCCCAGTCCAGAAGCCGATTGGAATGGTAACCAAAACACCAGGGGTCAGGCGCCTCAGAACCCCAGGTAGGGCTGCCTCTAACTCTCACCCTAAACTTAGAGACTGAGGAGCCCAGGTCTCTAGCCTGGGTATGCAATACAGAATAACAAAACAAGGAAATTTAGCTTAAAAATTCCTGAGCACGCATGGCAGACTTCTGTGCCTCCAGACCAGATATTACCTTAGCATTCCATGCTGTTGAGTCTCAAGAATGGGTTACCTCATAGCCAGAGTCTAACCTCAAGAGCAGCCCTCTCCCTCCAAAACCTTCCTGAAGGCTTCATGTTTTTATGCCCCATTGTCCAGCAACAAGGCAGACTTCAGCAGCCAGTCAAGACACTGCCACATAGATTATTTGATTCTCTGCAGCTGAACCAAATGACCTTATTATCAATTACTGGTCAAGGTTAATTTTAATGAAGTGATTGACAAGACCCGGGGCCTTGGTGCAAACATAATCCATTATACCTTGGGTCTCTGTAATACCATGTCTCTTTCTATAAGACCCAACTTCCCACAGCCCTCTTTGTTAGGCTGACCAGACAGACATAACTTTGTATAGGCTTTAGTCAAGCGAAGCTAGTTTGTTTTTGGAGGGTGAGCTTGTCCCACCCACCTTTTGAAGTACCAAACAGAGGCAATTTTCCCACCCATACAGTCACATGCTTTTCAATAACTCGCTCACCCCAGTAAAGACTCTCTATAGGAAGGGCTTCTCTCCTGGCTAATCTCTTTCTGCAAAAGGGCAGGTTGTCTTTCCTGTGCTCTGACAGGGTTCTGAGACACTCAAGCTTTACAGCCTTTTCTCCCCTCCCCCACTTCCTAGTCTTAGAGAGGCCTTTGGCCTGTGCCTGCTGCTTGGTGTCGGGATCAGTCATCTCCCTTGAAGCCAGTCTTTTCCCCAAACTAAAGTTCTTCCACACCTGTCTCAGCTGAAGTCCTGAAGGGAGGGAGGGAGCCACAGGGACTCTCCCCTTTGGCCAAGAGCTTCCCCAACTGCCCCAGCTTTTCTGGATGGACCAGGGCTTCGGGGGCTGAGGTGGCGGTGCCCCATTGCTGTTTTCCCCTGCAAGGAGCCTACAAGCAGACATCAGCCCTAGAAGCTTGTTGGGTGATTTGTGGGGTAAAGGGAGGCTTGGGCTCAGTTTTTCTCCTGCCTTTTTGCTCAGCATTCCAAGATGGCAGCACAAGCAGTCATAATGTGAAATACAGTAATGTTGGCTGTTGGTAGAACAGTGTGATGTGAAATGAAACGTTGTTGCTGAAAATGGCCATTCCTATATTGTGTTTGCTGCCCATGTAACATCTCTTGAAGCAGCTATGTCATAGCTGCATCATGCTAAGCATTGGCCCCACCAATCAGTGATGTTTGGCTGGAAAATGTATAGCATTATGGCATTGGATATTGGGCAGTTCTGGTACATGCAGGAAGGGGGTAGGATTGTATCTTTCTTTTCGGTGGCTGATCCATTTTTAGCGTAAGAGAAAGTTCTGAACTATATACTATATTTCAGGAAGTAGTATGGAGAAAATACCTCCTCGTTCCATGGTGGCTCCATGGAGTACCAATGAGATGAACACTAGGTATTACTCAAGCCATTGACTGTCCTCCTGCTTTAATGGCAAATGTGTATTTTGAGTTCAGACTGAGCTGATCATCAGGGTGATATAAAACACAAACTACTACCACTTCTTGTTTTGCTTTGCCAGTATGCCAAGCTTGGTCTCTCCCTGAGTGTCCCTGGAGGAGGCCTAAAGAAGAAATCCCCAGTTGCTTCACAGGGCAACGCAGAAGGACCAACAGTAACATCTCATGAAAATGAGGAAGATGATGAATATGCAGGTGGACTTTGCTAACTCCAGTTCTGTACGTTTCGCAAATATCAGACTAGCTGTTTCCGACTGCTAAGCAATTTCAGAGGTACCTGAGTTACCATCACTTCATTACAATCATGAAGCGCAAATATCAGACTAGCTGTTTCCGACTACTAAGCAATTTCAGAGGTACCTGAATTACCATCACTTCATTACAGTCATGAATCTGGAAGGATAATAATGACTTGGCGGTTTTGGAGGTACGTATTGAAAAGCATGGCTGTACCTACTACCTTGGAGCATTTGATGTTACGTTCTTAAATCAACTTTGTAGTGCATCTACTTTAATGAAGAATTCAAGTACTGTAGCCTTCTGAAAAAGACAGTCGGAGAGAGAGAGCATTTATCTTCAGTAGTTCTCCAGAGTCTGTGGTTTCAGGGGCATTGTTTCATGCTCTTAGATCAAATCAAGCAGCCCCATGAAAACTTGGACTTTGAAGAACAGGAAGTTTCAATGCAGAAGTGTTATGTATTTTTAAGAAAATAATACTGAATTATTTGAAATTATCTTAAACATCTGACAAGTATCTCTGCTGTTCTTGTGTGGATATAACGTTGGGTGAAATGTGTCTCTCTAAAAGATATAGGAGCACTGTGGGCCAGTTTCAAGAGAGCATCCTCATTTTTTCAGAAGTTTGAATGTGGTAACTTGATTGTTGTCAGTGTAACACCTCTGTGGACAAACTGTAGAAAATGCCTACTGAGTATTTGGCTAGTGAATACTTTTTAACTTTAAAATCTTCTGCTGTTTGGCAAAGTAGGCCTGTACAACCTTAGTTTAAAAATACCAGTTATTTATCCGAATGTTCGATGTACGTCACAAGTACAAATCTAGTTAGATATAAAATGATGCTGCTGTTTTGAGTTTCAGTGTTTGTATCCCTATCTGAATGAGTTCTTTGGCGTGATATCAGATGTGCAGGCTATTGTACAAAGGAATGTTTTCAAGTTTTAAAGACTTCTGAAAAATTGTTTTTCATATTGTACTGAATAATATTATTATATTTAACTCTGTAAACTACTAATTGTACAGAGATGAACAGTATGCCACAGCAAAGGATCTTGAAGTGTGCTCTCTAACATTCCCATAGTAGTTTTGTGTGTAAGAGTGAATCGACCCTACATCAGGAACACCATTCCCTTTTAAATATTTATATCACTATGGAGTAAGGTAGTACAGGGCATGGTAATTTCCACAGTCTTTTGAATGGAAAAGGCAACTCTGCCTACTTACGTACTGCCTACATGTGCAAAGCTTCCTTGCCCAAATGAACAGGTCAATATACATGCTCAGAAGTGTGGAGTAGAGCACACCTTAGCGGCTATGGATTGGGGCAATAAAGATCCTGAGATGCTTGAGAGTCATGTATTCTTTTATGGCTAACAGAGGGAGCATAGTTTTTGTATAGCACAGACCTGAAATAGCTCACATTGAGTGAGAATAGTGAATAGGGGTGCAATCCCCCCCCTCGGTATTTTCTGTTTCGGGTCTATTGGACCCCCCCAAAATTTGGGATTCCTGAAAAAACCTGGATCCCAACACCAGTAATGTATTTGGAGCCAGGATTTTTGGGAAATTCTGATTTTTTTCTGGTCCAGTAGACTGGAACTGAAAAATACAGAGGGAATAAAGAGCAGTGGCAAAGCTGCAAAAAGCTGCTGAGAGGTAGCTCAGCTGGGGCTCTTTTGGGTGGTCCCTTTAACCCGGAATGCCCAAAAGAGCTTGTATCCGGGGCTGTTTTTGGCAGTTTGGTTGAACAGCCCAAAAGAGCCCCATCTGAGCCAGCAGGGAGAGTGCCCTCCCCTGGCTGTTTTGTGGGCTGTCTTCTTCAGTCCTTTTAAACACCCCGTTTAAAGGAATTGCAGAAGAAAGCCCCAAAACAGCTGTGCACTGGGAGCAATCTGCTTCAGCCCCTTAGCTGTTGTTCCAAGTTTGCCGGTAATTCCAAGTTTGCCGGAATTGGGGGGGGGGGCTTGTTCCTGTTCTCCAAAAAAATCCTGGTACATTTGGGATTCTGAAATATACCCGAAAAATACTGATACAGTGTTTTTCGGGTATAGTTTTGGTTCAGGTAGCCCTGAATGCACACCCCCTAATAGTGAATATTGTGTGAATATAGTGAATAATGTACTACTCAGCAGTTCTGTTCAGTAAGTTCAAAAGTTTGTGGAGAGATGATAGGGATATGTTAAGGGACATAAAGCAGAGTATGTGAGAAGGAAGTCATACCTTAAAACTGGACAGCAGTGAGAGTGTCAGTACTGAAATTTGCCAAGGTTGATATAGCTTGCAGTGGGTAATGCCTCCACACGACTTTTATTTTATCTAACAAAAGTCATGAAAATGCTATTGCCATTATTAAACGTTTTAAAAAGTAGTGCTTCATTTGTGTTCCAAGCAATTTGCACACTACTTTTTGCCTCCGATGGAAAATTCATCAAGGAGAAACTTTTTGGAGATTAATGCCAACCTTTCAAGAGCCAAAGCAAGTACTGGTTTGCATGAAGATGCTAAAATGTAGTCCAATGTTATCACGTTATCAAATATGACTTATTTGTACACTCAGATGCTGTGTAAACTGTGTTTATGCAATGTGAAACCTGTGCTTTTATTGTAACTTTCCCTGTCCAACCTGTGGGATGCAATAGAATATCAGACACGTTCTAATTGTTCTTCAGATGCAGCCTCTAAGAAAAGGCATTGTATGTCACAGGTAAAAATAAAATTTAAAGTGGGTAACCTGCATATGTTTTATGATTATGATCAACTTGCTTCACATAAATATGTTTATATGTTAATGGTGAGCATGAAATGCTTTCAGTTGATAACCTGATAAATTAGAAGCCATTAGGAGGGGCTCATGTGAATTCATTATACTGAGTTAGCGAGATCAGAAATTACTTGATAATTTGTAAACAAATTGTGTGAACTGAAGGTTCTTGAATGGTTTCTCTTTGAGTGATGTTGTAAACAATAACAGAAGAGTTGGCCTCTCTGTGGTAGAGTTCCCACATGGACACAATCGGCCGTGAGTGATCCAAGATGGCAAGCACTCTGGGAATCCTCGAGGCAGGCAGGCAGGCAGGACGGGTTATCTCAGGGAAAGCACTTTAACCTCCAAGTAACTATGCACGGGATCGGAGTCTTGGTAAATGAGCACACTTAATTCCAGTTAATGCTGAATAGTGATGGGTTTGTATGTAAGTGACCTGATTTTCAATTTTGACCTGTTAATTATTTGATATTCTTACTGATTGAGTAGACTTTTGATTCTCAGAAAAAAAATCATTGTATCTCATTTAGGGCATCCGTTCAACGGTGAGTACCTGAATTTAGTTTGGCAGCAAAGAGTCACTACATTCACCACAAGATGGTGCTGCTGAATAGATGGAGTGTTACCACTACCTCAAGTTTTCAGTCAAGGCTGAATTGATATGTGAACAGTCTCCATACATTGTTTTTATTAGCATGCAAAGCAGGCCTAAGTGCAAGATCCTACTACAGCAGGGGTGTCCAAACTTGCTTAACGTAAGAGCCACATAGAATAAATGTCAGGTGTTTGAGAGCCGCAAGACATGAACAAATATCACACACACGTTTTTATTGAAAAATATGCAAATTTGCTTTTTATTAACATTAAATAAAAAGAAAAGGGGTAAAAACAGGCATTGATAATGATATTTATTTGCCCAATGATATTCTTTTTTTTTTTTTGCTAATAATATTTGTCTGAGAGAGAGGTGGAAAGAAAGAGAGAAAGAGAAAGAAAGTGAGAGAAACAAATAAAGCAAATAAATGGGGAGGGAGGGAGAGGTGGAAAGAAAGCAACTTTTAACTTTAAATGCGTCCTCCAAGCCCCCCTTCCCCAAGGGATTTGGCTTAGAGAAGGGATTTAAAGAGTGGTGGTGGTTTTAGAGTGCATTTAAAGTTAAAGTTGCTCTCTTTCTCTGCTTCCCCCTACCTCAAGCCTACCCAGGGAGGGGAACACTGCCTGGGGAAGGGAAGACCAATTGAGGAGGCATGCCTCCTCTTCACTTCCCCAGCCGCCCTGCCGAGAGCCGCACAATATGTGTGAAAGAGCCACATGTGGCTCCTGAGCCACAGTTTGGCCACCCCTGTACTACAGGAAGTCATCTAACTTTGTGCCTATCTCTGAGTGTAGGAAGTATTCCTGTCTGCCAGATGTCATGAGCATGGCAACTTTCCCCCCCAGTGTTACCCTCTAAAAATTCACAGCATTAAAAGTACTGACTGTTACCAATTTGCCTCATGCCCCTTCATTCTTCATTTGAGGCCTCTGTTACTCCATTATTCTCAGGACTTCTCACCACAGTTTTTTCCAATGTATATTATTTATTTATTATTTTATAGCCCACCCTCCCCGTGAATGGGCTCAGGGCGGCTCACAAATGGGGCACATGCCAATACATAAAACAGGTTAAAACAGCTTAAAAACAATCATTATAATATTACAAAACTAAAAAGTGCTCTAGATGTTTCAGATCAGTTTTCAATAAAAAGATGGCATCATAAAAATCAGTGGTGTCCACGCAGCGCTGTCGTTCACTCCTCTCAGGGCCAGTTGATGATGATGGTAAAAGTCATGATGGTAAGGTAGTGGTGGTTCCTACTGAAAAGCCTGGTGGAAGAGCACCATCTTACAGGCCCTGTGGAACTGTGCAAGGTCCCACAGGGCCCGGATCTCCTCTGGGAGCTCGTTCCACCAGGTAGGAGCTGCCACCGAGAAAGCCCTGGCCCTGGCCCTGGTAGCAGCCAGCCTGGTCTCTTTGGAGTCTGGCAAAGCCAGGAGATGTTGCATCCCAGACCGAAGTGCCTGTAGGGGAACATATGGGGAAAGGCGGTCCCTTAGGTATGTCGGACCCCGGCCATATAGGGCTTTAAAGGTAAGAACCAGCACTTTGAAGCGAATCCGGTATGCTATTGGCAGCCAGTGCAGCGCTTTCAGCACAGGCCGGATGTGGTCTCGACTAGGGAGGCCCATCAGCAGCCTGGCTGCAGCATTCTGCACTAGCTGCAGCTTCCGGATTTGCGACAGAGGCAGCCCCATGTAGAGAGCATTACAGTAGTCTAGCCACGAGGTGAACGTCGCATAGATCACTGTGGCCAGGTCATCGTGGTCAAGGGAGGGAACCAACTGCTGAGCCAGCCAAAGATGGTAAAAGGCTGACTTAGCCGCGACTGCCACCTGGGCCTCCATAGTTAACGAGGAGTCCAGGAGCACTCCCAAACTCCTAACCTCCAGTGCGGGCACCAACGGCGCCCCATCGAAGGTCAGGAGAGGGAGCCCTAACCCCAAACCGCCCTG